ATGAGATAACCATTTAGTAGCTTATTTTTATCAATTGGTCTTATTTTCGACTGAGCAGGGCTCGGGTCCGACCACCACTCAACACCGACCACGTGCAATGGGGCACGAATCTTCTTTAATTGACACATTTGGAAGGAACAATTAAACAATCTCAACACGGCCAAACCAGAAGCGGGTCGATTGATCTAGCACGGTTAAAACATGAGATGGAGTAAAAAGCCAAAGATGACAGTGGGTATAAAACCATTGGCTATGGCAAACGGGTTAGAAACCTATGGAAATGAAAGCAACAAAACTCCATCAGAGTTAGAGACATAAGCCAGTCAGTGATTGGTAAGAGGGTTAATTGATAATTCCAAAAAAAAAATACAAGCAACGTAGTGACAAAGCACATAAAAGTCAATCGGATGCTAAACACAGTAAAACAACTCGCTCAAGCTACCCTATTACTCGTCGTCGTCGTCATCCATGTCATTAGGAGCGTCACGCTAGGCTCTAAAACGCTCCTGGAGGAAGGAAAAGTCAATGTCAGGGTGCTGAGTAGAAACTTGGCAAAGAGACCAGGAAACACCGCACTCTATGGCAGAGTTTTGCAAGTCGACGTACTCTTGAGTTTTCTTGAATTCCTCGGCCAAGAATTAAAAGTTAGAGAGCCGAGCGTTGGCCTCGTCAAGTCTCCTCTGCAGGTTAGCCAGCTCGTCTCGAGATTTTCTCTTCTCCGTTTCCAACTCACGTTGGGTACTCTTCAGAAGGCTGTTGGCCTTATTCAAGGAAGAAATGGCCTGTTCCAGCTCCTTCCAAGGGGCATAGTGACAGTGGAGGTGGTTAATTTCATCAGCAACCCGACCCGAGAATACCACCAAACAATTGAAAATCTGCCAATGACAGAACTCGACATTAGGAGAAGATACTATGACAAATACTTAAAGCTACAAAATGCTCACCTGGTGAAGGTCATTAAGGCACGTACTGATGCTGTGCTGAGGATTTGACAGGCCAAAATCTGATTTGCTTGATGAGTCGTCGAGGCCCTGCCAAAGATTAAATGCTCTTTCCAGGTAAGCTGTCTCGTCAGCATCAGCACTATATGGGCCAGAGAAAGGGAAGATTGAAGCTTGAGAGGAGCTCCCTGAATGACCTCGAGGGGAGGACGGGATAGACGTCCCATGAATCGGGTGAAACGCCTCGGAGCTGTCGGAGGCATGGAAGATCGAGCATGTTGTGAAGGGAGTCCCTCATTGGTCAAATCAGTCACTTCGATATCCGAAGCCCGACTAGAGCCGACCCCAAACCTCGGGCATTTTGACAACGTTCTCTTTCATACAAGGAAGCACTCCGTCTTGATATTTCTACAAATAAAGATAAAGGTAAAAAACGACGTTCATGCAAAGTGAAGAGAAGGTTTCGACAAAAATTTGGAGGGTTACGTGGGAGAGCCAAGCCAAAATCTACTAAGTTTTGCTCCGTAACCAAATCTTGGCCCCAATGCTCGATATTCGGTAACTGGATAACGGTATGATAGAAAGTGGACGCCTTGACGGTAAGCTCACAATTGCGGGAAACTACCAACAAGGAAAAGGAATATCAGAATTGATATTTACGAAAGTCCCGATGGAGCTCGGAAGCTACTTACCCAACTCTCTACACTCAGTCGAGACGGGAAAATACAACCCTCTCTCGTTACAGGCTAACCAGTCACCGCCAACAAAAAACCATTCGTTCTTCCAATGCTTACTAAGGAGGGACCCATAACAAGAACTTGGTTCCGAGAACTAACATAAAAATGAAAGTTATCCTTGGGGCTGTGTTTTAGGTAATGAAGCGACATAAAGTCCATGGCAGTTAGAGGATGCTCGCCCCCGAGGTACGACCACAAAATAAAGCAACTGATCAAAGTAGACCACTCATTCGGGATGATTTGGGAAGGAGCTACTTGATTAAAAGCTAAAAAGTTTTGAAGGAAAAAAGGCAAGGTAGACGGACTCCAAATTGGAACATCGCGACATAAAATACTACTTCACCGGGAAAAGAACCATCAATACTCTCCCCCGGATTCGGAAGACGAAGGCTAACCGAATCTGGGATACGGTATTTCGAACGCAAGCGACGCAGGTCCCTCGCCGTAAGAGTGGAGTTATCCATCCAAAACGAACGATAGGATTGAGATTCTGACGAAGGGTGCGACGATGACCCATCATCCGAGGAGGTCCATTCGAAATTAAGGCTCGCCATAAGAGAAAACACAACAAAAAGTAGAGCAAAGAGATGAATACCTTGTAGGGAGTTTGACAAGAAATGAGGAGGATGAAGGGGTTTAAATAGCCCTTAGCTCAAAGCACGATTCTCGGTCCAGAGGTCTTTGCCCAACGGACCGAGGCGTGCTCGGCACGGTATCCAACCCTCCCGTGACTTCTCAGCTTGGTACCCAACACTCTTGTGACTTCTCGACTCGGTACCCAACACCTCGTGATCTCAAGGTCACGAGTCTACTGTAGATGTGACAATTGCATGGAAGGTTGCCTCGGGTCTTGCAAGGAAAGGGAAAATCGATATGCACTTTCTTGTGTCTCATGAAGATGAGACAACTCACTGCGACTAGGGTACCACGGGCCCCACAATGATTCGACAACTCAATCGACTCGGACCACGATCCTTGACTGTTAGACCGAAACATTCTCGGCACGAACCCCGAGAAACCTGCATTCTTCTGGGTCACGGGCCTACATGACAAGATAAGTCACAACAAAAGCTATATTCCTAATGAGATCGAAAGCATCACATTGGGAGTAGGGGCAATTGTTATGCAACGAGAATCGACGATAGCCAAGCTACAGGTCGCGATCGGAGGGGAACCCTCTAGGTCACGAAGGGCTCGGTCCCGACCTGTGCTCGGCCCCGAGCTGGACTCGGACCACGGCCCGGCCAGCAATCTCCCGTTGACAATTGAATCCAATTTTTCCCATTATTTTAATTTTCGTATCCGTAATAGTGCGAAAAGAAGGAAGGCCCAATTCCAAGTTGTTCAAGAATAGTGGCGTTGAGTTTCTCGACCCTTTGCCTTAGGATTAGTCAGTTCTATTTCTCGATGGGGGCAAGGGAAGGGATATAACTCAGCGGTAGAGTGTCGCCTTGACGTGGCGGAAGTCATCAGTTCGAGCCTGATTATCCCTAAACCCAATGTGAGTTTTTCTATTTTTACTTGCTCCCCCGCCGTGATCGAATGAGAATGGATAAGAGGCTCGTGGGATCTTCGATCAACGATTTCACCCAGGCCCTGCAACTGTGAATTAGGGTTAGCTACGGAAAGTTCTGGAACTACTTCTCGGCTATAAGTAGCAATCCAACCCTAGAGGTAGGGGTATCTAAAGCTGACCACATTCATATTATTCTCTTGCTAACTTAGGCATCGGAGCCCTGTGACTAGAGTCACACCGGTTTAGTTCGATTTGGTTTTGCAAGTATTAGTCCCAAATCATCAAGTTTGGTGTGTGCGAGGAGGAGAATCGGAGGACGGAAATTCACGCATCAAAATACTCAACTCCATTTACACCATCAATAATACATACATTCATATACAATATAATCGTAAAAAAATTAGTTGTCATTTAGATTCTAAATTGGAAAAAAAAAAACCCTTGAATTAAGTTGTTAATTAAATCTAATTACACTAATTAAATAAACTAATTTAAAGTATAATACAAAATTTTTTTATAATATATTATAATTACCTAACTTAATACTTAATAAAGAAACTACTAAACATATAAACGAATTAAATAAAAGAAATACCAATTTACAATTAATTCAATTCAATTTACAAAACTATTACAATAATTTATATTCAAAATTATTAAAACTCAAAACTTGTATATTTTAAAATTAATAAAATCTAAATCTAATAACAATATTATAGGTTAAATAATAATCAAAGAAAAAATACATATGGGAAAAGAACACCATACAAATAAATTAAAAAAATACAAATTTAAAAAATTAAAAAACACAAAATAACACAACAAAAATTTAAAAAAAAAATGCCTTGGATGAAGTGGTCTCTTAGAGGTAGAATCGTACCAAAGTAAA